TCGCACAAGCACCTGAAACCACTCTTAGTCGAAGTACAATTTCCATTGGCACAAGGATTTGCTTCACAGTAATTGATGGTCTTGTTGCAGTATAAGCCKTCATAACCTGGGAAACAGTTGCACWGAAACCCACTTGGTATGTTGGTACAGTTTCCTTGATTGCATGGATTWGAGTGACAGTAGTTAATCGTCGTGTTACAGGTGCTTCCAGTAAAGCCTTTCTTGCATAAACACTTGAAGCTATTCTTAGTTGACGTACAGTTTCCATTAACACACGGATTATACGCACATTCAGAAACAGTTTYGTTACATGTTTTTCCTATAAATCCTTTAAAACATTGACATTCATATGTATCATTAATTGCTCGACACGACCCGTTAACACATGAATTAGATGCACAAAGATCATCGTGTATCTTGGTTGAACARTTAACTCCTATGTATCCAGTATGGCATCTACAGTAATAACCATCGGGGAGAGTGTTGCAAGTGCCATAGATACATGGACTTGGACTACAGTAATMGATAGATTCATTGCAAGTTGAACCTTTATAACCAGCTTCACATACACAAGTAAATGTCTCATTATTCTTTTGACAAATTCCATGGTTACATGYGGTGAGTTCACAAGGATTAGAATCTTTTATATCACATTTGGTTCCTTTAAAACCARTTAAACAATTACAAGTTACGCCATTTTTATTTTTGACACATGTTCCATTTGCGCACATTGAACGACATTTGTCTATTTCGGACTTGCAGAGCTTTCCTGAACACTCACATCTAAATCCTTTTTTCATCGCTGTGCATTTCCCTACCTTGTCCGTCGTATTTTTGGGTTCTGTATTTTGAATACTCGTAGAATTCGTAGAAGTAAGGCCTTTAGTGTGAAWATCTTTGTCTTTTATGGCAATCTCACTTTCACATAGGTGTCCAGTAAAACTGGAATCACAGTTACATTTAAATGAGTCTTCTATGACAATACATTTTCCATGCATACAGGGATTTGGCGAACATAAATAAATGCGTTCTTGGCAGAGATGTCCTGTGTAACCCTCAGGGCAAACGCATTTGAAACTATTATTATTTTCTGTGCATTTGCCACGTAYACATGGATTGTTGGAACAACGTTTCTGTGCCTCTTCACAGTAGACACCAGAGTAACCTTCATCACAGAAACACTTGAAATGSTCCCCAACATTTACACAAGCTCCATGCCTACACGGACTGGATAGGCATGCGCTTAATGGCTGGTTGCAAAGAGGTCCTTTGAATCCTTTTTCACATTGGCAAACGAAGCCAGAACGATCACTGTTTTCGCGACAAGTTCCATGAATGCAGGGATTCGAAGTGCAAATAAAAACTTTTCTGTCACAATTTGCTCCAGTGTAACCTTCCTGACACAAACAACGTACTCCAAAGCTAGTATTGTGTATGCATACACCATTAATGCAG